TTTGAACAGGATCGAAAGTGCAAGGGGATTGTATTGTTCCATTTCATCACATGGTGCTTTTATGCCATCCTGAGCCCACTCCTGCTGGGAGGTCCCGTGTGTTTCTGTGCACAGAAATGAGCCATCCACCTTCTCTCTGCTGTTTTATTTCTCGTATTAGTGTTTTAATCAATGAGCCTGTAAATAAATTCATTTTTGTTTTCGTAGAACTGGGATGTGCCGGGTTACCTTGCGAGAGTTGCTGTCAGTGCAGCAGGCTCCAGTGAGTCTCTGCCCTTGGTTCCGCTACATGCATTGCTTACTGTTTTGTCATTTCACTGGCAGCGTACAGGAGCTCCTGTGTGTGTGAACACGGGTGTGTGTTATAGTCTGCTCACTGGGTTTTCCTTTCCAGAGTCGCTTTACTGTGGCTTTCATTAGTTTTCCAAGAATGAATTATAACTAGTTATGACCATTTTTGTGTATGTTGTCTTTTTTGTTGTTACGTAGCGTCACCCGAACCCATTGTGAATAGGGGACACTGAGCATATTTGTTAGTCCTCCTCTCACTGTGAATGTTGATGTCACCTGTGGCTGTGTCAAGGACTTGTTTTGTGTTGAGGAAAAATCCTCTGAATCCTTTTTTAGCTAATACAAATGGAAATTTATTTTAATGGGTTCCTATTCTATATGTATGTGGAGGTGCACAGGATTTACTACACAGGAAAGGAAATGATGGAATAAATTTACGGATTTCTTAAGATGTTTGTTTTTCTTATACCGTGTATCTTATTTTTCAAAACTCTTTCATTGCTATGATCTATTTTTTTTCTTTCTCCAAAAGAAATATTTGTCTCTTCTAGTTGTTTTCCCTCTTCTTTCGATACCTTTTGTTCTGCTCATCGTGTTCTCCCCTACGGTGATGAAAACTATCAATAATATCCTGGAGATTCCCAAATTCTTTCTTTTCTTTAATATTTATTTTATGTATGCATATAAACGCTCGGGTGTAGGCCACAGGTGCAGGGGGTGAGAGGATTCACCAGAGACAGGGTGGGGAGCAGAACAGGCAGACTGACTGAAATACTCTGCTGAGGGGAGCAGCGGGGAGACAGGTGAAATCTTCTGCCCCTTGTAAATAGCTCCCTGGTTGGGGATCAAATTCATGTTGCAGTGGTTCCTGATAGCTTCATAGTGCTGAGACTTAAACTCTTGTGCCACCAGGGAGGCCCTGATTCCCAAATTTCTGTTCTCAGCTTAGACTTCCTGATCTATCAGACACATGTCCAGATGCATGTGGAATACCAGTAGACACTAGAGTGTTACAGTGTAACTACCAACCCGTAATGCGGACAGTATATTAGGAAAACATTCCTCGTACCTCAGCCACCAAGTTATTACTAAGTTCTCCTCCCCTTTGTCCTTCCATTTTAGAAGTGATGACCTGTTCTGTCTTCTTCTGACACTGTCAGCTGAAATCTTTTCTTAAAAATATATTTTATATATATATTTTTTACATCATTTTTCATTTTTGCACAATGTATGAATTTTCATCTTGGTTATAGTCCCCATACATCCCACCCCCCCTATTTTGACCCTAATCCCTCCACCCCTCCACCCGCCCATAGTGTGTGTGTCTGGTTTATACTTGCTTGTAGTTGAACATCTCTTACCTGTGCCTTTTCCCCCCTCATTGCTTGAATATTCTGGTTTCGGGCTCAGTTTTTGTTTACTGTGAGTTGGAGATACCAAGCTTTGAGGTCACAGGAGTAAATATTGGCACAAAGTTGCACATGCTTTTCATTTGTTATGAAGCTCCTTTGGCACATGAATCCGGGTGTATGTCTGTTACACCTGCCAGCCAGGCTATCAGCTCCTCAAGGAGCAAATTTTATTCATCCTTTTATTCTTACAATCATAGACACTTTCAAATTTATACAATAAGCTATAGTTCTACTTTTAGGACCGAACGGGTGAATGTAGAGGCGTGGCTCTTTCAACTGTGAATTCTATACATTCTATAAAGGACCAAAGAACCACAAAATAAGATGTGTTTGCACTTGCTCTGTCTGACCCAGGCTGCCGGCCCTGAGATGAGGAGAAATGTTCCCTCAGAGGGGACAGTGTCATTTGAAAACGTGGCTGTGAACTTCACGTGGCAGGAGTGGCGGTACCTGAGTGAAGCTCAGAGGACCCTGTACTGGGATGTGATGATGGAGACCTGCAGTCACCTGGTGTTCCTAGGTGAGGAAGCTTCAGTGTAACACTCTAGTGCAATGCTCTCTTCTGCACCGATAAGTGTGCCCTTGCTTATGAAACTTAGTGTTGGTGAGGTTGAACATGACAGGCAGTGTACATTGTGGTTGTTTCAGTTTTCATTTGGAAAGATTCAGATTGGCCTCTTTTGCACAGCTCTTCACACTGCATTTGTTAGTTTTCAAAGACTGAAGTTGAACTTGATCGAAGACCAACACTGTTTCTCATCATAGGGCACTGTGTTACCGATCCTGAGGAGAGCATCAGGTCGGAGCAGGGATTACAGTCGTGGTCTGTGGACGATCCACCAAACCAGGACCTCTCAGGTCAGTCAGTGCTTGCCAGGTCGGGAGGCTGAGAGGAGGCTGGGAGTGTGGCCAGTGATATTGGCCACACTGAGGTGCTTTTCCAATGTCCAACCTTGGACAGTGCGTCTGCATATATCAAACTGATTGTTTATTCAGTTCCCAAATATTCTCTCTGGTGAATTTTGTCCTGGTGAATTTTGTCCTGCTCTTTTAATGATGGTTGTCTAAGTTCTTAAACCAGTATGCAGTCCCTGATACTGTGGGAATTTTTCTGCAGTAATCACATTTCTCTGTTCTCTCTCTTAGTGTATTCTTTTCTTTTTTTTATTTTTAAAGAGGCATGTATTTTTATTTATTTATTTATTTGTTTGTTTGTTTGTACATGCACTGGGTACAGTCAGAAGCACGGGAGGGTGAGAGAATTTACCAGAGCCAGAGCAGGGAGCAGAGCAGGCAGAAGGACCAAAGTACACTGCTGAGGGGAGCAGTGGGCGGCAGGAGAGATCTGCGCGCCATGCGGGACACTCCTCCGGTGGCCGGGGAGCAGCGGGGGATCGAACCAGCGCCGCAGAGGCCGCGGGCAGCTTCGCAACCCAGCACTCCACCGCTGCGCTACCGGGGAGGCCCCTCTCTTAGTGTACTCTCATAGACTGTTTTCTTTAGGTACCTGTTCAGGAATTTTTTTATTCTGTGTGTTCATGGGAAGTTTAGCCAGTGGTAAATTTTCTATGAGAGGGGAGAGCAACAATACTCACATAAATGATCTTTACTTTCTAAAGTTATACACTCTGTGAAGAAAGAATATATAATAAATACATTTACTAATAGAGAGGTAAAGCCACAGAGGTAAAGCCACAGATGTTTGACCAGCATGAGTGAAACAAAGTGGAGGATGTTGTTTTTGTGTGTGTGCTCCATACGCATCATTATAGAGATTAATTCTTTTCTTTCAGAGCTCAGGTGAGGTGAATGGCTTGCAATGACATGTCATATCTATAGTTCCCTCTGCAGTCTGGGCTAGAGGCTGTGTATTGCTATTGGAGATGTCACTTTGCAGGTGACTAACTCAAAAGGAATAGAGCAACGTTGACTGGAGAGTTATTTAGAAGATGAGTGGTGTTCCTGGGGCAAGCCTTGTGACCACCCACATAGTAATTGTGAGGCTGAGGAGGAACCAGAAATTGTTTAGCGTGGGAAGGGATGTTCTGTGACATGCGAGGGGGAACCTGAAGTGGTGGTTTCTAAATCCATGGCACCAAGAGATTCAGGTTGGGGGCTCATACCTTGGGGAACAGTGCGACCTGTGCAATTCCACCTTCTCGTGGGAATCGTTGGGAGGAAAGTAAAGGAATCAATGACAGTGTGATGTAGCTGAGAGTCACACACGACATAAAAACTGGAGCTGCTATGAACAAAGCAGAAACACAGGTTCCAGGGAGTGCGTTGAGAACACCAGGGTGTTGCTCTCAGAAGGATGTGGGAAAAGACTTTAACACTGATAGCCACAGGCTGGATGCAGAACTTTTTTCCTATTGCTCAGCAGGAATGTGGGACACAATGATGAGGCGGAGTTTGCTGCATGTATTAGGATTCTGAGCCTTATGTGATACGATATTTAAATAGGAACTGACAGGTCTATGCTGTGGAGGGATGTGCATGCCTCTGAGAACCTCTGCAGGTGACCGTGGCCAGGGCCGGGGTCGAAAGAAAAACTAAGGAAATGGAGAAGCAGAGTCCTTGTGTCTCAGCAGGCCTCTTGCTTAAAGTGCCTGGGCAATGACTGGGTCTCTCAGTCCACAGGTTTCCGGGAAAGCCATGGCCTCTGCAGGGCTTGGTTATTCAGAAAGTACCCTCAAGAGCTGCACAGGGTCAGTCTAAGAAAGAAGGTGTGTAGGATCTATATTGGGTGAAATGCTTCTGGTTGAAATCGACAACTCTAGTTAAAGGACTATTTTCACCAAATATTTATGATTTATAAAGCCATTATGAAATTAGTTTTACTGCTTTGTTATCCTGGTTTGGCATTAGAAACTCTGTTAATTGGGGCCTTCCTGGAGGCCTAGGGATTAAGTCTCTTAGCTCTCACTATTATGGCATGAGTTTGATCCACAGTGAAGGAGCTCACCCACTTTGGCACAGCAGACCTCCCCTGTCTCACCTGCTGCTCCCCTCAGCAGGGTATTTGAGTCAGTCCGCCTGTTCTGTTCAAAACACTGTCTCCACGCTCCCCTACAGCACCCCCACTCCTGCACTTCTGGCCTACACCCCAGATCTTCCATGCTAAAATAAAAAGATACCAAAAAATCTATTCTCCCCATAATTTGCTATGGGCAAAAAGCATGAATCAGAAAATCAATACCTGTAAATTGTGTTGTAATACAGGAGCTTTTGTGCCACTAGTAATATTCACTCAAAATGCTTCTTTTTAGAGACATGGTCATTTTTATCTCATTTTAGATGTCCATACTGTGGATCACCTGACTCAGGACAGCCCTGCAAATCTGGGCAGACATGTGTGGCAAGTTCTTACCGCCAGCAGCAAAATACCATCCAACGAGAGAGCTGACTTAATGGAAAAAAAGCAATTTGGACTCAATTCATTGTTTGAACCATAGTATCAAAAATGAAAACAATTCAGCAATGATGCCTGAGAACTTTACTATACATAGGACCATGATGATCCCTGGTGAGCCTCATGAAGAGCATGCTGGAGAGAACGAGGAGGTCTTTAGTAGAATGAGGGAACCCATCAAGTATCCTGAGCACCTTAGTCACCAGGTGATTCAGAACTTTCAAGAGCCTTTTGAATTTCGTGAACAAGGAAAAGTTGTGAGTGAAGAAACAGTATTTACACCTAGAGGAGCCCTTCCAGAAGGGGCTGCCCGTAAATGCAATGAGTGCAGGAACACCCGTGATGAGGCACCTTTCGTTGTCTGAGACAGAACCCAAGGAGGACAGACTCCCTGCAGTTGTAATGAAAAGGGGAGAGCTGCAGAAATGACTCCAGTGCATTTGAATCCTCCTAGGTATGCTGAACATGAGCAGCAGGAATGTTATGAAAGTGGGGCCAGTCTCAGCAATACATTTCACACCTATCCGCGTGAGAGTACCCAGTTAGGACAGAATAATTTTGGATATAAGAGATATGGTGGGGCTCCCAGGTGGCGCAGCGGTAGAGCGCTGGGTTGCGAAGCTGCCCGCGGCCTCTGTGGCGCCGTTCGAATCCCCGGCTGCTCCCGGCACCGGAGGAGGGTCCACATGGCGCGCAGAGACCTCTCCTGCCGAAGCTGCTCCCCTCAGCAGATATACTTCGGCCTTCTGCCTGCTCTGCTCCCCGCTTGGCTCTGTGTGAATTCTCTCACCCTCCCGCGTTCTGACTGTACAGTGCTTGTATAAACAAACAAACAAACAAATAAATAAAAAAAAACATGCCTTATTAAAAAAAAAAAAAATCTTAAAAAAAAAAAAATTAAAAAAAAAAAAAAGAGATATGGTGGACGGCCTCTTAAAAACCTCTGTTCTGACTGAACATCAGAAAAACACAAGCAGATGATCA